CAATTCTCAGAACCACATATAAATAAATGAATAAAAGAAAGATCCATCAACATCTTTAACATATATATATTTTTTAAAAAGTCAAAATTGCCATCACCATTCAAAATAGTAGTTATTTCAGTGGCTGGTTTGGCAGGTTCTACAGCATTAGACCCAAACATCCTGACAGAGCTTATTTGGCCCTTTCTAGTCCAACTGTCACTAATCTCTGTAGCCTCATTTCTGTAAAATTCTCTAAATACTATTATACATGCTGATCACTCTGCCAGGAACATACTGTTCCCTCCCTCAACTTCTAGTTTCTTCCCTAGTTAACCATAAATATTAGAAGCCAGATTAAATATTTTCCCTATGTCCTTCTGTTTCAGCTTAGATATCAATTCCAAGATTTCCATGACTTTTTCCCCATATCCCAACTCAAAATAACCATAATTTGGTACATGTCCTTATGTGTTCCTAAAACATACTGCATATATCATCTGTGAAAGAAGCTAATTTTGCGGAATCCAACAAGAAAAGGACAACATACTTAACACAGATACTACATGTGATTTTCTAACAAAATTAAAGACTATCAATATTTGTGAAGCACTAATAACTTGAATATGTGTACTCTTATCTTCTGGCTCTTATTCCCATGATGTCCTGATTTTAAAGACTGCAAAAGGATATCATATTCTTATAAAAGAATTTAAAACTTCCCATTCTAGTCTTATATAATTTAAGTAAGATTTTAAAAGTCTGCAAAATAATTTTTTTTTTTTGGGGGGGGGGGGGCGGGTGGTTAACCAGGGATTGAACTCAGGGGCACTGAACCACTGAGCCACATACCCAACCCTATTTTGTATATTTAGAGACAGGGTCTCACTGAGTTGCTTAACACCTCACTTTTGCTGAGCCTGGCTTTAAACTCATCATCCTCCTGCCTCAGCCTCTGAGCCACTGGGATTACAGTCAGGTACCACTGAGCCCAGCTGCAAAAGGATTTTAATCTAAGCAAAATCATAAAGATTTTCACTCTGAAAAATTCAAAAGAGTCTTTTTCCTATTTTATTCAGAGCCTTGGGGCCTCAATGATTTTCAAACTCTTTCCAAATGCATTCTGTAGTACATACATGTGTATGTGAGGAACAAAAATCTTATTGTAGTTCATTAAATATAAAAATATTTAATCTGGCTTCTAATATTTATGGTTAACTAGGGAAGAAACTAGAAGTTGAGGGAGGGAACAGTATGTTCCTGGCAGAGTGATCAGCATGTATAATAGTATTTATATTATAATGAACTATAAACAAGAAACACATAAAGAAAAGAATACATTTATAGAATCTATACTATGTAATAATAAATAAGTTTGGGATTTTTTTTAAAGAATATTCCACTCATGTTTAAGATGTGTTATATTTCTAATGAGCAAGATTATGCTGAGAAGTTAAATTGAGTTTGTATTTCCCAAACAAACCTAATTTCTAGGACTCCCTAGGCAGTGACAATTATAGTAATGTATTTAGCAAAATGAATACTATGTAAGTTGATGGCCAAATAATGGAGATTTACTGATTGCTCAACTCTAAGAATACATTTTTTAAAATACTGTAAGCACAAATATAAAGATCATCCAGGAAACTAGTAGAATTCTAGCAGGCCACTCAAATAAAATATAAGTAGCCATCAATTCATTTATACATTATTGATAGCATCTAAACATTCTCCCTAATTCTAGAATTGTATTTTTTTTTCTAGAACTATGTTCTCTTCTATTCAATCAAAGCAAATAAAATGTATGCCAAGGAGGAGAAAATCTTTTAAAAGAAATTTCATGAGAAATAAGCAAAGTAAAGAAATGTTAGGATGAATTATAATACTAAAGTATTAACTGAAAGTCAATGGAAACAAAATCCAGCAAGTCATTTTTATTTAAAAAAAAATAAATATCTACTAACCATATGCGATTAATTTTTTTAAAAAAAAAACTATAAACAGCATTCATAATAGACTGAATAGACTAAAGAGTACATGATAAAGCTTGCAAAAAATTTAACCATGGATTCTTCCTTTCACCATCCTATTGAGTCCTCTTCAAAGATTTCTAAATGGTATCCTCTGACCCCCTTACACAACTTGTTTAAATGAGTTGCATTCACATACCTCTTTGTGCAAAACATGGTCCCTTCTAGTCACAAATTTTCCATCCTCCTGATTATACAGAGATGCTCCTTGACTTACAATATGATTAGGTCTGATAAACCCATATTACACTGAAAATACTGTAGTCAAAAATGTGTTTAATAAGTGTAACCTAAAGAACACAATAACTTAGGAACACAGTATACATAGAGTATTGGTCATGACCACAGACTGACCGGGAGCTGTTGCAGCCAGAATCTAAAGAGAAGTTCCACATATCCCTAGCCCAGCAGAAGACCAAAGTTCAAATTTGAAGCACAGTTTCTACTAAATGCATATGGCTTTTGCACTCTTACCAAGTTGAAAAACTGTAAACCAAACCATCATTAAATGAAGGGTCATCTGTACAGAGTACATCTAGAAAATATACAACTATCCTTACATTCACAATACCTTCCTCTGAAGTCATACAATCTAGTCCGGGGAAAAGGTTAAAATGTCCAAAGTAAAGTACTTCTTAAAGACATTCAACCACATTCTGTCCTTCTGCTCTTCTTAGAATGCTTTTCTCCAAACCTCTGTTTTCAAATGGATAATTTGTGACTAGAAAGGACCATGTTTTGCACAAAGAAGTATGTGAATGAAGCTCATTTGAGCCAGTTGTCTAAGGGGGTTAGAGGATACCATTTAGAAATCTTGGAAGAGGACTCAATAGAATGGTGAAAGGAAGACTCTTTGGTTAAAGATTTTATGCAAGCTTTATCATGTACTCTTTAGTCTATTCAGAACTACTATTCAGAACCACTATTCAGAACCACTGAAATGTTATCTCTTCAGAGATCTCTTCTGACACCACTTAGGTATTTTCTATCATAGCTTCCCATTCTCTTCCATCATTGCTTTTTTTTTCCCAGTCTGTAATTACACATTTGGATGATTATTTGCTGTTTAATTGTCTGTATCCAGTAAGAGAATAAACACTCACATGGACATGGATTCCACTGTATTGTCAGTGATTAGCAAAGAAGACAATAAAATATGAATGTGTAGGTCTGGTGCTCAGATAAAAAGGTCTGGGCTAGAAAAACTGAGATATGGGTAATCCCTAACCATGAAACCTGGTAAGATCACAAGTTGAAACTGTGTAGGGTTAGAAGAGTAATAAACCTTAGAACTCAGATCTCAGGAAACCGAATATTTAGAGTTTGAATAGAATAGGCAAAGGAGACTAAGTTAGAAAAGCCAAATAAAATCAAAGGGAAACCAAAGAAGTAAGTTTTCAAGAAGTGAGTATTCAACTCCAGAATGCTGCCAAAAGAGTGAGTAAAAAGTGAGCCAGGTGCAGTAAAACCAGCTCCTCAAGAGGCTGAGAAACAGAAGGATCACCAAGTATGAGCCCAGCCTAGGCAACATAGTGAGACCAGTCTTAAAAAAAAATAATAATAATAATTAAAGGCTGGGGATGTAGCTCAGTTACAGATCTCTTGCCTAGCAAGCACAAAGCCCTATATTCAATCCCTAACATGGGGTAAATAAAGGAAAAGTTCCCTAAGGATGTTGCTGATGTCTTTAGTGAGAGCTATTTTGGGGCAGTGTTATATCTAATGGCAAACTGCACAATTTTGATTCCAAGGTGAGGAAATAGAGGCATGGTTTAGTCTGGATCTGAAATGTTTGGTTTAATTTAGTTTGGTCCATGTGTTGAAGGCTTGGCTACTGGCCATGGCACTACTGGGAGATGGTGGAATCTTTAAGAAGTGGGGCTAGTGGAAATAAGATGGGACCTAGTGGAAGGAAATTAGATTAATGGGAACATGACCTTGAAAGGGATATTGGGACCTCAGGCCACTTTCTTTCTCTCTACTTCCTGGTCTGCCAGGAGTGAACAGGACTCCTCCACTTCCAAGTGTTCCCCACCATAATGTACTGTGCTGCCACAAGCTCAAAGGAACAGGGCCAAGTGACCATGAGCTGAAACCATAAGCCAAAATAAACCTTTCCTCCTTTTAAGTTGATTATCTCAGGTATTTTGTCAAAGTAAGGGAAAGCAGACAAAAAAAAAAAGGAAAGGATCCACATGGAGGTTGCTGATGACTGATAGAGATCTGCTGTAATCAGGGAAAGAGATGACTTGTAGGTACACACAGGAGGTAAAAAGACTGGTATATCTGAAAATATTGAAAATAACCAAACAGAGGAAGCAAATTTCACAATCCCAAAATACACCAGACCACGGAGGTAACCCCAAAAACTATGTAAACAGACATTTTATGAGCATTCAATGTTGTTGCTATTTTGCTTGTCTAAAAAACTTTCTCTCCATTAAACTCTAAGTACCCCCAGGCAGAGTAGGGACTATACTTTATTCATCACTGCTTTCTTGGGACCCAAAATAGAGCCTGCATACTTCAGGTGCTCAGTATTTCTAAATAAATACAGAATTCTGAATAACAACCTTAATTATTGTAGTAGCCTTCTTGCTTGTCCCTCTCCTCCAATCCATTTTGTTGTTGTTGTTTTGTTTTGCTTTACTTTGCTTTTTGTAAGAAGACTATGCTACTTAAGCACTGCAAGTATTGTCATTACACCTTTAAGAGCTCCCTCTCAGACTCTCAAGTTTCTTGGAAACGGAACTTATGCCTGATGATCCCATGATACGCCAATATCTTGCTGGACGTCAGGCTAAATAATCGAACCTAATAAGTGGCTTCTTACTAAAGAGCTATGTTAGGCGTTTTCAGTGACTCCAGGTCCACCAAGGTAAACTGCCGGACCAAGCACCGCGCTGCCAGAGTCCTCCTACCCGACAGGGAGCGCTGCACCTCTGAAGGCCGCCACCTGCTGTAGTCCCCGCCCCCCGGCCCCGCGGTCACCTGCAGCGGCTGCACTCCGGCCTCCGCTCAGCCGGCTCCACAGGCAACTCCCACAGGCCATCCGCACTCGCGCTATCGGCCTCTGCGCCCCAGGTGGACGCTACCAGCGATGCACCGCCCTCCTGCCGCTCCTTCTCACTAAGCGTCTGAGACCTCAAGGCCCCTGACGGCCTCACGATGAGGTCCGGGGGTGTTCGCGCCTCTTTCTGCGGCTCCATGGCCAGTGCTCTGGGCAGGCCGTCGCATTGAGGACTTACTGACGCTGGAGGGCGCTACGCACTATAAAAACCAGCCTACGCCGCTGGCGCCACGCAGCACGCATTCACGCACGCCACGTATGGGGGCGGGTCTCCGGTGCCCGGGCTTGGAGTCCCGCCCTGCTGCGGGGAAGGAACGAGCCTATTGGCCAGGGCCCTTTGGGACGTGCCACCAGGTAGGAAAGCATGAGTTGTGTGGCACTGTAGGTGAAATTAGGCCGCGTCCCTAAGACAGGTAAGGGCGTCCTCTCCCAAAGCACTCCAGATAACCAGATTTGAATGTAATACCCATAAAACTAAGGATAAGATGGAATTCTGCATTTCCTACCTTCTGGCTACAGTTTATAAGAATTTACTGAATTCCCAGGGTAAGGTGCATCCAGAGTAGTTTTAGCAGCTAGTTGAAGTACTTGGTAGCTAAATGGCCAACAAAGGCCTACTGAAAACAGAACTCTTCTGCTGCTCTGTTTCATACTATGTCCTGTTCCCCATCCTTTGATATTTCTTCATACTCTTCCACAGTACACACCAAATAGTTGTTAAATGAAGTTTTTAAATTGTCCGAGACCCTTGGGATCAAGATGCAACAGGAGCCGTGGACTGGAGTATATATAGGTTTTATGGTTGAAAAAAACCATAAAAGGTAACTACCTTACCCCAATGTTTTATAGCTTCTGGTTAACTGAAATAGCCAGGTAGCTCAGTTTTTTAAAAAATCAAAATGTAATCTTACTTAGAATGAGGTTAGAAATGCTTCTTGCCCAAAATGAGTGCTGATTTCTTTTCATTTGTAATGTTTCCTGTTATTTCTGCTAATATACAACATTTAAAGAATTAAACTTGGTTTTCATCAATCATGTGAGTTGTTTTATGATCACAATTATATTAATTTTTTTGTCAAGAAGGATTAATAAAACGGACTACCAATAATATAATGGAGTAATATTATAATTCTTAAAATGTTTCTCTGTCAGTTTTCTCAGTCATCTTAAAATAATATTTGTGAATAGAATACAGGGTTGTTGTTTTCAGCTATTCTGCACTATTTTCCCTTGGAAACAACACCCCTCTTTTCTTTTGGAGTACCCTATATAAGGTTAGAAAATGTCTGGAAAAGCCACATTTGATGGTAGTAGGATGAGAAAAAGAATTGACACTTAAACCAGTTGGAATTGGGAGATAAATTAAACACAGAGACTATAGGAAAGAAGATGAACCAAAATTTAAATAAATCCTGGCTATAGATTTAGGAGAATGAGCTTTAAATTTTTCTTTCCTTTTTTTTTTCCTAGTACTGGAGACTGAACCCAGGGGTGCATTGCATTATTACTGAACTGTGTCCCTGGTTCTTATTTTGTATTTTGAGACAGGGTCTCTAAGTTGTTGAGAGTTTCACTAAATTGCTGAGCTGGCTTCCCACTTTCAATCCACTTGCCTCAGCCTCCTGAGCCATTGGGATTACAGACACATGCCATTATGTCCTGGTGGGGAAACAACTTGTTAACTGCATAAGTACACTTTTGTGTGACTATCTAAACCAAAGGAATCTGCTCCTCTCTAGTTTCCATAAATGTGCTCTCTCCAGGTACCGTAGCATACACCTGTAATCCCAATGATTTGGGGGCTGAGGCCAGAGACTGCAAGCTAGAGGCCAGCAATAGCAACTCAACAAGATCCAGTCTCAAAATTTTAAAAAGGGCTGGGAATGTGGCTCCATGGTAAGTGTCCCTGGGTTTGATCCCTAGTATCAAAAAAAAAAAAAAAAAAGAAAGAAATATTCTCTTAAGTCATTTAAGATTTCTCTAAGCTCCCAACATTGCTGTGAGACAGCAAATGAGTCATCTTTGGCTTTCTCTTTAACATCCATATCAGATCATTGACTACCCTGCAAAGGATTTAAAATCCAGCCATTTAGCTCTCCCACTACTTTTTCCCTTGTTTTTCTCATCTTGCATAGTCTATTTCCATTGTTATATATGTGGTCTGTTTAAAGAACAACCCCTAATCTGGGCCTGGTGGCTCACCTCTGTGATCCCAGCAACTCAGGCAAGAGGATCAAAAGTTTGAGGCCAGCATCAGCAAAAAATACCTTTGTATTTAAAACAAAAAATAACCTGTCTTAAAACAAAAAATACAAAGGACTGGGGATGTAGCTCAGTAGTAAAGCACCCCTGGCTTCAATCTCCAGATCCCTAGTAACAACAACAAAAAAAAGATATAGTCAGAAAAGAGAGTCAGTTTCCCCTCTCGGAGGCAGGAAAATCACCCACTATCCAGATTTATGAGCTTTGATCTTGAAAAAACTGAGAAAATGTGATGTTACCAGTGGCATACTTGGTTTCAGAATAAAGATTATCAGTGACCCACCTTCTGGAAAATTCCAAGGCACTAGGAAGGGGAATAAAATATCGTTGATGAGATATAACCACTTTACCTGTGGTAAGACATTTTAGTAAGATGTTAACTTATGTTTTGTTTATCTTTCAAGTAGATAACCTAACCATTATACTTCTTTCCATGGGTCTTTGTGTGGTTTGAAGACATCCTTGCCTGGTCTTATGGGAAGAAGAGGATACTTCAGTGGGAGAAGAAATAATGATAATGATAAGGATTGAATATCCTGCAAATCCAAGAAAATGTGAATTCAGCACTGGATAAACCTTGATTTAAACGAAACAAAGATGACTTTTTTTTTTTTTTTTGCTATGTACATTTTCTATTACTGTTGTAACAAATTACCACAGGTTTAGTGACTTAAAACAACACACAGTTTTATATGTCAGGAATGTGATAATGGATTGCACAGGACTGAAATCTAGATATTAGACTGTATTCCCTTGGAGACTCTAAGAATCCATTTCCTTTTTCATTTAGGTTGTTGGCAAAATTCAGTTCCTTGTTATTTTCTTTCTGGCTTATCACCTGAGGATAATATCCAGCTTCTAAATGTCACCCATGTTCTTTGTCTCATTGTCCCCTTACTCCATCTTAAAAGGCCAGCAATGGTAGACTGAGTCCTCTCATTTTTCAAAACTCTTCTGCTTCTTCCAATACCTTTCTCTGACCAACCCTCTCTTTCTGTACCACTTCCATTTGCACATAGCTAAGACAGGATAGTCAAGTCAGCAGCAGCTTTATATATATATAATGTTTTATTTATTTATTTTTATGTGGTGCTGAGGATCGAACCGAGGGCCTTGCACATCGAGGAGAGCTCTCTACCGCTGAGCCATAACCCCAGCCCCAGCAGCAGCTTTAATTCCCTTTTACTTTATAAAGTAATATATTCACCTGAGGTAAAAATCATGCCTCTGCCCACCATAAATTTGTTCAACTAAATTTATGATGCAAATTCATACAAACTACATATGGAAAAAAATGGAAAATTGTATACAGAACATCAAATTTCTATCAAGATGCTGAGGTTGGGGTCTATTTTCATTTTTTTTTTCCTTATATTCTACACAATGAACATGTAAGCAGTATTTTTAGAAAAATGTGGAACATTAGATATCAAAATTAATCATCTACAGTGGGTATGGTGGCATGCCTGAAATCCCAGCAACTTGGAAGGATAAAGCAAAGGGATTACAAGTTGGAGGCCAGCCTCAGCAATTTAACAAAGCCGTAAGCAATTTAGTGAGGCTATGTATCAAAACAAAAAGGGCAGAGATGTGGCCCAGTGGTTAAGGGTCCCCTAGGTTCTGTCCCTGGTACCATAAATAAATCCAATTATCTGACTAGTTCCAAGTAATACAAGTAGAAACAGTTTCATTAATTCCATTGTGTGGGAGGCCAACCTTCCGGGTGACTGAGTTACACTCCCCAGCTGGGTGCTGAGGCGCTCAGTCACAGAAATGGGTGTGTCTTGCTACAGCCCCATGGGTGAAACTATACTCACCTGTTCCTTTATAATATAACCCCTTGCCTTGTTTAGGATAGAATCTTCCATGGAAGTGCCTTGTGTGTGTCCCCTCCTCTTACTGTGCCCTTGGGTGTGGCCTACCCAGGTGTCAGTCAACCTGCTGACAGTGGACATCATGAAGATACACTCAGCCCCCTGAAACCTGACTCCTTGCCTCATTTGAATAGCTTCTCAATAAAAGGGGTCAGCGCATGCTCTCGCTCTCTCTCTTTCTGTGGACCCTTAAGGTCAGAGGAGCCGTCACAGCAACCCCAAAGAAAAAGGTATTTGTGTCTCTTGTGTGGTTATTTCGTGCAGCCCAGTTAGCCCAGTTTAACTAGAGTGACCCCTGAGCCTTTTAGTCGCGAGAACAGAAACCCCGGCACCATTCCCTGGTTTCTTGGATGAACTTTCTAGTCTTATGTGAATTAGTAGTGAGTCTAGTGATGCTTGTATTTAATACAAGTTCTCAAGCACATCTGCATGATTGTTTTGACCTAAATTGTTCTTAAATGACCTCATTGATGATGGGGAGTCTTCTCTTCCTCAAACCCCAGCTTCCTGTGCATTTCACTACACCCTTGAACTCTAGGGAAGGGGTCAAACTTGTCTTTCTCTGCAAGGCCTTCCTTCAGGCTTTTTCCCCAACGTCTCACTAATATCTGCTAGACCATTTTTTCATTTTTTCATTGGTTAGACCACTGACATAATGTCTATCTTTTTTTTTTTTAAATTCCTGATAGTAGCTCTAAATAAATTTTTTTGTTGTTGTTTTTCTGTCAGATTTTCTTCAGAGATCTACTCCAATTTCCTGGCTATGCAGTTTTACTTTTGTATTTTCTTTAAATTTTAGATTTAATTCACTTGGAAATATATTATGCCTTACTCACACGAAATTTTGATTTTACACTATTTTTTGAAGCATCTTGTTTATTGGATTTCAATTTTTCAAACCCTAGTTTGTTTTTTAATTCATTTTTTTAAGAGAGAGAGAGAGAATTTTTAATATTAATTTTCTTTTAGTTTTAGTTTTCAGCAGACACAACATCTTTGTTTGTATGTGGTGTGGTGCTGAGGATCG